TCAATTGAGGCAAGGGTTAACGTTTCTTTCTTCGATGAGCCCTAAAGGACCGGAAGGCCGGAAGTCATGCCGAAAGATTTATGCGCTTCCTAGTGTGGATCTGGCTCTTTGCTCCGATACTACACGCCCACGAGCGGCAGTAGATTACGTGGCATTTTTGCATCGCATCCTGAGCCTATGCTCCATCAGGATTTATGAGTTATGCAAACAACAAGGAAGTCTCGTCGGGGCTAAGGGTGCGAGAAGTGGCTCCGCCCTCTTCCCTTTCTTCTACGACGCGTAAACTGGTTTAATGCGGTCTGGTTTGTCTCTCTTTTCTATTCTATTACGTCGTAACACGATTTAATTCATACGACGTGTGCGTTGTACGCTGCCATTTATATTAATTATTAATTAATACGTTAGTGTTAATGCTTATACATGTAGATTAGACGGAAAGAACAATTTTGCTGGAAATAAGTCTAAACATATTGCTGGATACAGATCTGAAAATAATTCTCGTTGAAAAGTCAAAATAATTACTAGAATATCAAAATGTTTTACAGTAATGCCTATTATTTTTTTAAGTTTCTAACAAAATTATTTTTATAGATTCAAACTTTTTGAGCTTTCAGCAAAATCGTTCTTTCTGTGTAATGACCAAATTGACGATAATAATTTTGTATGTTTATATACATATGTACCTACATACACATATATACATATATAATATTTGTATGTTTAATATATTTATGTATATTAAATATTTATGCAAATATATACATATGTATTTAGATGGCTAAAGATATACATAGGTATATATTTTTGTTCTTTTAAAGTTACCGTTTAATTGACAATTGATGAACCGCATGTTTAATAAAATTCTGTTAGCCGAATGCACACTTTATGTATATAAAATACAACAATTAAATCAATATAAAATAATAAAATCATAAAATGAGAGATATGCGATATTATGCAGAAGATATACATATAAAATGAAAGTAAAGCATGTGTATTTGGTACATTTGAAAAGATACAGATACACGCACAAAATAAATAAATTATGATACGATCGTCCAGAGCCGTGTAGGTGGAAAAGGCAGATGCGCCTGTCCAAAAAGGAGAATAGCCTCTTCGCATTGGTCCAACCGTGGTTTCCATGGACGCAAATAATCGATCTGTTCGCCGCTGACGTTTGTCTCTTCCACAGAGCATGCTCCAATGAAACCCGCGGCTCTTCTCGGTCGAGGCATTGCGTAATAATATATTATTATATGCATCATACAAGATGTGTAACAAAGTAATTTTAGTAACTTAAAGCTGAATTTTAATCTACATTTTAAAATTAGCACCACGGCAAAATTATAAATTAAGATTCCAATCATTGGATACTTACGAAGAGATATATGTATAATATGACCGGTCGATATTTTAATTCTTTGTAACAACTAATAATTTTAGTAATCTAGAATACGCTGATTATTATAATACTATTTATAATACTTTTTATACCTCTTTACCTTTTTACCCTCGGTTGTTTTTAATATAATTTTTTTATTATAATTTCTCTTAATACATATACAAATAACAAAATATTAATTTACTGTCATATCATTTACGTTAATTAGTAATTTCGTTATTGATATACTCGTCGCGGCGCGATCGTTTAATTGCGCGGGTGCAGGCGCTCTTTCGCGCGTACCAGATTACATTATTATTCTTCAACCATATTTGCGTAACACTTTGGGCTCGCTGTGTTATGTGAAATTTATTCGTAATTTAATGTTGCCTCGTAAAACCCAGCTGTGCCGGATGATCGGATGCGCCGACCGATTTTGTTCCAAGCTGGCTGTCAGATCGCTCAGGTAGTCTGACTCCGTATTACGTTACCCGCCTGCACTCGCTCGATTGCGCTCGCTCGCTCGCGCTGCCGCGTTGCCGGCTGGACGTCACCTGACTTTAACTTTGTTTCGAATTAATCGAACTCGAGGCGTCCGTGGAGAAATGCACTCGTTTCGCGCGCGAGCAGTGTGTTCATTAAGTAAAGTTGATTGCCGTCGTATCGCGAGCGGTGAATCAGTCGGACGTCGAAATACACTCGAATCGAATAAATTCCGTTGGACTGATTCTCCTGACATGTCGCGACCGTGTAAAGAACACAATTTGGATGCGATAGCTCTTCAGTGAACTCGTCCAATTCATCCAAATTCTGAAATAATACGAATTAATACTGATTATTGTTGTCGATATTATAAATTCATTGTGATGAATTTCGTCGTCCATTTTAATTTCACCGATTAATCTCGAAAACCAATTTGAGAGAAATTTATTTCTGACAGTCATATAATGTGAGATCATCAGGTGAGATATCGCAAGCGCTACGTGCACGAGCACGGCTGATATATTTTTTTTTTTTCCAATCCCTCGCTACCCCCGTTTGATATATACATATATGTATATAACTTGTCCGTGCAACTTCGCGCTTTCGTTCTAATGCTTTGGCGAACTGCTTCGCCGATTCTACTCATTAACTATGTTGCACCGCCTGCTGCAACGAAGTGCGCGATTAAATTACTATCCCCGCGAGTAGTCAGCCGTCAACAACGGGAACTTGGCTCGTTAATGCGGTCGGAAACGACGTAGACCAAGTTCCAAGTTCTGTAACACCCTTATACACGGATTAAGTAACGCTTCTCGTAGATGCACTCGACTTCGGACGGACGGTATTGTGCAACGCGTTGATTACGACGGTATGCTCTTCGTAAACGACAGAGCGTAACACGCGATCTAATGTGAATGCATACGCAATATTCAATTAGGACAACTATATAGGATACAAACAGACAGAATAGAGAACGTGGATATTATAATATTAAATATTAGGTAGGATACAGCGGTGTAGATAATTTGAATAGTGGGGTAATTTGGATAATAGTATAAAGCATTTGCAAGAATTTCAGAAAAATAAGAGATTTTAAGATACATTTCATTATATCAGACATTGATATAATGAAATGTATACACGGAAAGAACAATTTTGCTGAATCCAGATCTGAAAATAATTTTTGTTCAACAATCAAAATAATTTTGTGGGAAAGTCAAAATAATTGCTAGAATATCGAAACATTTTATAACAATGCTCATTATTTTTAACATTCCAACAAAATTTTTTGATGATTGAATAAGAATTAATTTTCAAATCTGCAGTATTCAGCAAAATTTTTAGACCTTTCAAAGAAATCGTTCTTTCCGTGTATACCTTAAAATCTCTTATTTTTCTGAAATTCTTATCTATTAATGTCAGTAAAATATAATGAAATGTATCTTAAAATCTCTTATTTTTCTGAAATTCTTTCTCGGAAATGCTCACTGTTCTGAAATTCTTATCTATTAATGTCAGTAAAATATAATGAAATGTATCTTAAAATCTCTTATTTTTCTGAAATTCTTTCTCGGAAATGCTCACTGTTATCCAAAATTACCTCACTATATTCAAATTACTGTATTCTATATATTAAATATTAATGCTATAATATTAAATAATATTATAAAAGAATTATATGCATATTATATCTTTCAGCTTTCTCGGCCCTTGAAAAATTATGACTGTACTTTATGATTTCTTTCAAATGCAAATATGCATATTCATGTCGCATTGAAAATTGGAAAGCGATAAAGATTTACGTCCCGGAATACCGATCGTAATCTGTTTCGCAATGTGAAAATTGATGACAAAATATCTTTTTGGTTACGAAAAACTGAAATTTTCCCGAGGAAAGAATTATTATACAAATTTTACACATCTAAAGTTGACATGAACAAAAACGGCATTTACGCTTTACAAAAATTCTTTTCCACTTCTTCTTTTAAGAGCTCAATAAGACTGTTTTCTACTCTCAAAAACACTATCTCGGTAAGAGTATGACATTAATTTTACATCGTGCCACAATAAATTCGTCTAATTTAAGTTACGTTGAAAATGCAAATAATCGAATAATTCTTACATGCATCTCCAAAGGTGCATGCTTGCGACAATAACGAGACTAAGTTGTGGGATTCGTTTCGCTCGATTGTCGATCAATGGCGAGCGGCAAGGAGCGAATTCTGTTGGATAGAAGTTTGTGTACCGCGCGACCATCAAAACAGGATCCGAACCAGTCAAATTCAACCTCTCAATGCCAGGTAAAGCACGAATACGCGCAAAGCGTAACCTTCTGTGTTATCGAGGTGAAAGGAAGTTCTCCAACAATATTATGATGATCGTACTACGAATTTGTGAATTTACAAGTCATAGATTGCAATTGTAGTTTTTTTTTTTTAATATGTTGCAAGTTATTAATTAAAATTAAATATATAATAATATAAGTCGTAATAAAAATTAATATGCGTATAAATTGTAACTGCGTGCACAGAGTGAATTTTGGAGTTCGTTGCAACCGACCACGTCCGACGATAGTGCGAGAAATGGCGATGAGCTTGCAAAGGAGGAATCCAGTGAGCATCTCGAGACTTTAAAATTCGCATTTCCTAAGAAGGTCAAGGCTCGTGATGGAAGAAAAGCGAACGCTAGCAAGCGTAGAGTCACGTTCCTTGATCATTAAACTCGTTCGCGCGATGAGCATTGCGTTACATTACATTAAAAAAAAAAAAAAAACTGTGCAGCAAATGCAAATATTGTATTACACACATTCGAATGATGTCCGATCAGATTTTTCTGCGTAATAAGATTTTTCGATTTCAAAGGCGCGAGTATGGATGATGCGGTTTTATCGTCAGAAAATTCTGTAACCGATATTTGTTATAACGATACTCTCACAGCCGATCATTAAAGGAAAAAATGGTCACACATGCACAGTATTCTTATTTATTATAATAACAATTTTTACGTATTATATTATTTATACTCGGCGTGTCCAACGGTGTCGTTTGTAAAATGCAATTTTGTATATAATCTCTTTGTTTTGAAATTAGTTTTTGATTTGTGACATTTTATTAGCAGATGTTTAAATCGATCGATCGATCGTCTTATGATGAATATTACTTTTAGAGTGATGTGTGCTGAAACTTCAGACCATTTTTGACATCTACAACAAAATTTTCTGTTATTCAGAATCCTCAAAATTCTACGTAAATCAAATTTTATAGATACTAATTTAATTTAATTAATTACATGAATAAGACAAGCATGAGCGGATTCAGAATATGGGCATTGCAAGATTTATCATTATTATACATTCTGCCGGCTAAATCCTTGCAGGTACTCCATCAAAGTCAACCTCTCTCCATTAGTAAAAATATTTATTAATTAAAAATAATGTGTCGAAAAGATCAAGTCTTGTAATAACATAACATCTCCAAAAAGTTTCGATAATTTTTATTCGTTCTCAATTTTTCTGTTATAAATTATGCATTGGAAATAACGCATTAAAATACATATATAAAATCTAATAATAAGACTAACCTGTAGATAAAAAATATAAAGACCACAATTAATGTAAATACACAAAAGCAATTAAAAATATTCAAATGTTTTATAAATTAAGTAATATTTTTCTTTAAATTAGCATGAAACGCTCGTGTCCACGAACACATTTAAGCGTTGCCTTTCGAATTTTCTCAACTCCTCTCGCATACAAAAGAATACTCATAAGAGCAGAAGAATTAATTTATCAACAATTTCCAATAATCTGGAGCCTATCTTTCCAACATGGATGGCTTTACCTGAAATCACCATGACAACCTGGAATTCTCGATCACCCACGTATTTTTTGCCTTCCAAAGCGAATACGGAAATAATAATGCGTCCAAAGGCATTAAAACCTCTCATTAAATACGAAGAGTTGCCGGATAGAAATTCAGTATCTAGAACCAAAGACTTCAAAACGCTTCCAAACGTTCAGGCTGGTGATTTCGATTTTGTATATGACGACAACACTGTAATAAAATCTGATAAAGTCTGCTACGATAATTGCACTTCAAAAATAATTTTCACTCTTCAAGAAAATCCAGAACTCAAAATTAATCGTACAATCGAACAAGAATTGATTGATTTATCGATTTCTACCACTGCGAGTAATGTGGATTCTTCGTCTCCCGCAAAGTCAGAATTAAAAACACCAGAAGTCAAGCAGCAGCAATCGCGAGATCGGCTCAAGTTACAAGACGATCAACATTCCCGAAAATACGATTCGTCGCAATCTCTGGAATTTCGGAATTATACGCAGAAAGATAGCATTTCGCAAACGTCTGTAATCACTTCCAAGCCATTACCATCTTTATTTGAAACATTGCAAGGATCGAATACGATGACGAAACCGCTGAAATGTACGAAAGATGCACCATCCGTATTTGCGGAAATAGGTAAAGTAATTTTACAATATTAACTAACACATAATTTAAACATTCAAACTTTGCGAAATATGAGTCAGATTTACATTTTGTAGAAATCTCGCGCAATATTTCATCAAAATGGTTCTCCACAGAGCGATCACATCCTCTTAGGGAATATCATACATGGAAAACCTCTAAGATCGAGAATATGATAAAAAACGAAGACCGCCAGTTCTTCGCGTCTGATATGCAACAATGCACAACGCGACAAGGACAAAGTGCGGGCTACCAATCGTCTCGCTTTAGTCATTTAGCTTACTCCGGAAGTTCGGGAAATGAAGGATCCCGAAAGTCATATCTACCTTCTGTACCGCGTCGCGTTTTCTCTTCAAAAAGTTACACCATGATCCAACAATCTGTTCGAGAGTTTGAAAAATTGAGAAAGGATTTAAATGCAAATCCATTGATTATTCCTTTGAACACCACACGCTCGCATCCAGGTGTTTTGACATCCCAGATGATAACTTTATTTAATTTATTATATATTAGTTTAATAATCCTCGATTTAAAATTATACGGAAAGAACAATTTTGCTTGGAAGGTTTAAAAATTTTGCTGGATCTGAAAATAATTCTTGTTGAGTCATCAAAATAATTTTGATGATTCAACAGGAATTATTTTCAGATCTGTATATCCAGCAAAATTGTTCTTTCCGTGTATAATATATGCATATTATGTACTACCTATATATGTTCGTATAGTAATTTAATAAAAATAAGTTTTACGCACGGAAAGAACGATTTTGTTAAAAGGTCTAAAACTTTGCAAAAAACAGATCTGAAAATAATTTTTTGTTGAAGTCATCAGAATAATTTGATGGAATGTTAAAACTGATAAGTATTGCTATAAAGCGTTTCGATATTCTAGCAATCATTTTGATTTTCGCACAAAATTATTTGGATTATTGAACAAAAATCATTTTCAGCTCTGAATTCGGCAAAATTGTTCTTTCCGTGCATATACATATTCAGTCCGCAACTATAATGTTAGTGTATTGAACGATTAAAACATTTAACAAAACCTGCGATCATAGATCGCATTTCTCTGGTAAAGCTGCAGTCGTTTTCCTTCGACGCTTCGAAGAAAAGATCCGCCGACTGTGAGAAGGATGGTAAGTCGCAACGCTCGAAACGCGAAGTCGAGGCCGAAAGAGATGACGGCGCGTGTTCTCGGGAGGCTACAAGGAGATCGAAGAGTAAAAAGTTCTGCGGGAAAACGCGACGGGAAGACACGTGTGTCTCGTCCCAAGCTGACACGTGTGAGAAACGACAGGACGGAAAATCTAAGCCAAGCAAAAGATCCACGTGTCCTGAACCGAAGAAGCGGAAGCCATGCAGTTGGCTCGAGGAGCGATGTCCTGACCCTCGGAAGTGCGACGCGAAGGCACGAGTCTCGTCCAGGGATCGCGCACAGCAAGATTCTAACTGTTCACGAAAACAAGGTATTGACAAGAGATATAATAAAAGTAAAGATGTAATAAAATGCATAATAATAGGCATATAACTATTATTGCAACAGCGTATGAAGATACAATTCTCGCGCGTTAAGAAATATTCAAATTGAATCTAATATTTCCGCGATATCTTATAAAATATCTGAAATTGATATATGATATCTTGTATAATCACACGAAAAGAACAATTTTGCTGAATCCAGATCTGAAAATAATTTTTGTTCAACAATCAAAATAATTTTGTGCGAAAGCCAAAGTGATTGCTAGAATATCAAAATGTTTTATAGCAATGCTTATCAGTTTTCACAATCTAACAAATTTTTTTGATGTATCAACAAAAAATTATTTTCAGATCCGTTTTTAGCAAAATTTTTAGACCTTTCAACAAAATCGTTCTTTCCGTGCAAAATTGTATAGAATAGTAGACATTATTATTGCTGTTATAATAATTTAACGTTAGCTATCATTAGTAATCATATAATAATTTACAGCGTTTAGTTATCGTAATTTAATATTTATCACATCTTAATAAAATTCTATATGGTGTATCGATTTGTCCATTCTCCAATTTTCCTATTTCTTGCTTCCTAATACTTGTATATTTTTATATCCTTTCTCCGTTTAATCTATTAATTTACATGTTTCACTTGATTATGTTTTTTCTAATTTTTTTTATCACGTGTTTTAATTTAACATCTTGATATGGCAGAACGGCAATCAAAGTCTGAAGGCTGCGAGAAATCCGACGAGACGCGTGCAACTTGCCAGGATTCAAAAGGAAAGAATGATTGTAAATCAAAATACGAGAAACGTTACGTAAAGCGCGATAACAGCAAGAAGGAACGAAAGTGCACCGAAAGCACTCGAAAGCGGTCTAACAGCGGCCGCAAAAGAAATTCTTCCCGAGCCAGTGACGAAAGCTGCAGCAAAGGAGACGGAAAACGACGTTACTCGCAACAATCAATTTTCCCCGGCCCGCAAGATCGTAAATTTTTCTCCACTTTGATTTCCGATATCGTTCGCGACACGAATGTAAGCAAGAGACTTTATACTGGCTGTAGTAAAGAGGAGGATCAAAAACTACCATCTTGCGAGAAAACAAAGAGAAAATGCGGAACCAAGGAGAAAGATGAAATCAAGAAAAAGTGCACGAAAGAACCGGCCAAATGTATATCAAGGGAAAAGACTACTAAAATGAAAGTTTGTCAGTCATTGCAGAAAGAAAAGGAAGACGATAAGAAATCATGCGAATCTACGAAAAAATCCTGTCATGAGAAATATTGTACCGATAGAAAAAAATCTATGAAAGGTAAATTATGTTTAATTTTTCAATTATATGTACTTATTTAATTATTATACATACATATATAACAAGATTTTTCTAAATTTTTGTTATATGTATATCATAATTTAGGCAGAAATTTTTCAGTTTTATCAGCAGCTTCACTACATACATTATTAATTAATTTTTATTTTTTCGTTACAAACGAAAAATTGAAAGAAGAAACAGTGAAAACACCTCCATCACCTAAAGAGAAAGGTGAGTTCTATGAGATTCATGATTTTTTAATTCTTTCTCTATATTGTAGATTTGTATGGAAAAGAAATTGTTATGCTAAATTTTCAATTAATTATATTGCTTTAATTGTGTACTTATTGTAGACAAAATGCCTATGGATCAGTCGATAAAGGAACAGATAGATCGCGAATATAAAGAGATAGATGAATGCAAGAAAGGCTATAAGAAAGAGAAAAAGGATGATAAAGTCAAAATCGTTTCCACAAAACATAAGCTAACGGATTTGACTCGCATAATTAGTTCGTATGAAGAACAACAAAGGATGGATGGCGAAAAGTTTGCAAGTACACATAACAAATCAATCATTTCTACGGATGCAGTATTTAAGTGGTTCAACATTCAATCTAGGATTATTAATGGCAAAATTCCAATTATCGTCAAGTTAGTACTTTCGTTTGGATTTTATTTCTGTCGTCAGTTGTGTTTTTAAAACTTGAGAATTAAGGAAAGAATAATATTCTTTAGGAAAATGTCTCTCAATTTTAACATTTTTTAAATTTTAATTACTGATTTCTCTGTTTTTTTTTTGGTAATTTACATTGAGATTATTCACAATAAATCGCTGCCATTTTATCGTAACTATTATATTACTTGCGATCGATAATCATTTATTGCTGCAGCAACGAGTTATTTCATAGGACGTAATTACAGGGATGTCAGACTGTCCAATGTAATGTTTGATCGATCGTTCTCTACTGCGAAACTGGATTATCAGGATGATTTTGCTACCGAACGGACTATGAACGATGATAAAACGGCTCAGAACTGTTCTGCGAATAGCGACGATTTTACCCACGGTGATGAATTGCCGAATTATGTTGAAATAGAGTACGAGGACGAAGAAGATGACGGTTACGATTCGGCCACTATAGTCGACCGGTCTCCGAAATCGATTGAATCGTGACGAGAAGGTCACACAGTAAATAATAATTTAATGTACGCAAGTAGTAAGAAAAAAAAACAGTTTTATTACAATTGTTTTACACTTTGTCGTAACACGATATAGAAGAATGCGTTGATGATCCAACGAAAAGTGAAAGATAGCTTGATGTAACGTGACTGCATCTGTACTTTGCTCTTTCTCAAAAAAAAATTCACTTAAAAAAAATGTTTGCGTTTGTGTTTCTTTAAATATAACGATGTAATGTAAACGACGTTTATCTAAGCACGCTAGTCTCTCTTGTAACGGTGTACAAACATAGGTTCCTCACGTATAACACATAAGGACGTTAATAAAATACACAAAATGTACATTCACATGTACGACGGTATCTCGTTTTCAGCCAAGAATATTCTGACCCTTCTGATTATACGGCAATCAATTACTCCGCGACATTACACAATATATATCGCTATAGATAGTAGTCGATCATTCTCCCGATATGATATTATACCTATACCTTAACCAGGTTTCACTCTGTATAGACGATAAGATAAAATTACTCCCCGACACTTGCGACTTGGACGAACGTCGATTACTCTCCCCGGAGGGACGGATGCGAGTCGTCGAGTGAAACCCGAAGTGCGGGGCCTTACGGCGGGGGGAGGGGGAGAGGGGAGAGGAAGGGGGAATTCGCTCCTTCACGAGACGTCTTTGTAGCGCGGACGGAGGCGTGAATGGCGGTGGGCCAGGAGGCCCAATTACGAGTTATTCAGTCCTCACCACGGGGCACCGCGGTGCCGCTCTACCGTCTCGGTGTACGCACCTACCTGGCGCCTCCCCCTTCGTCCTCGCGTAAGAGCGAGAAGGAGCGCCTCTGGAGCGTGGAGCGCGAAGGGCCGCGGGGCGGGGGACGACGGAGGGGGGAGGGGTTGAAACGCGGGGACGTGGGGTATAGAGAGAACGCGAGGACGTCTCTGCGGGATTCCCGCCGCCACTTATGGGAATGCGATACGAGCTTTTCGTCGGATGCTCTCTTGCGTTTTCGCATTGTTACGCAACCGTCCTTCTCGCGTCCGCGTCACCCTCGTGCACCCCGACAAAGGGAATCAATGTCAATGCGCGCTGTCGCGTCTCGCGCGTATATACACGCCCCGGTGAGGATGTTGAAATGATGATTGAGAGCGTGCAATAAGTGCGCGAATGCGGATCAAGATCGTCATGTTCCTGCGTGTTGCTATAACGATTACGCGAGGTGTCAGTAAGCCCCGAGCTGAGCGGTCCTTTAAATTCGTCCGCTGACAAAATTCCTTCGAATTGTTTTACTGCAATAACGCTATAGAGTTTTGTAATTACCATATATTTGTTATTGTCTCTCTAACCTGAAGTTATTTTAAAGTCATTTAACAATTCAATCATTTCCTATGTTAAAACTGTACCGCTAATTTGATATTTTTATCTTATTTGGATTAAGAAATGCTTAAAATAAATAAAACAAAGTGTGCGTGTACAAATCAGAGTTATATTGTTGATATTGTTTTCATGTTTTTTATTTTTAATAAATATGATTACGTTGTATTATTAGCCTTCGATCTTCTAAGTTGCGACACTGATAATACTATACGATTAAATTTTATTTAAAGAATCTAAAGTTACATTTACTCTTCAATCTACGTTTCAATCTCAATTTCATTCATTTCAGCGAAACTGTTTACATCGTGTGCTCGATCAGACACTTTACGCGAAGTAAAGTGACGGTAAGGGCATCTCGCAACGATCGAATGCGGATCGGCGCGACTTGTCCCATCAGCAAGATCGAGCGGTCGATTTCGTGGCTCTTTAGGACGAAACCAGGAGGGTTTCTTGCACGTCACATTATGGTGTCAACGACTTCATCGTGGACCACAAACCGCTGGCATCCGTGTGTATCGAGAATGAATGGCGTCGCCACGGGTGGTACGGAGGCGCATACAACTCGAATAAAATGTATCAATTCCGTCCTCACCACGCTGGCGGGGTTCGCTTCTCCGAGGATCGATTGTACGCTCCTCGCAGAGGAAGGAAGTCCCGCACAACGGACAGCGGTCTATTATTGCACAATTTTTAAATTATATATGAGTCCTGCATGCGAGACGAAGCAAGCTCAACAAATATTATATAGCGAGAGCATATTATAACGCGAGAGTTAAACTAACCATCGTTCATTTCTCATCAATAGATTTATAACTTCAATCTTAACTTTTACTTCTTAAATTGAACAATAATTTATTCAGGCTCCGAGAATTAAAATTTAAAATAAATAATAGCAACGGACCAGGAGCCAAGCGAGGTCTTCGTGCTAATCTGTTATATAATAAAATTACATTAATGTTACCAGACGATTGTTTCGGCTTTACATCAATTAACATTAATGTAATTTTATTACATAAATATAACGGATTAGCACGAAGACCTAGCTTGGCTCCTGCAGGCTCATTGCTATTATTTATTTTAAATTTTACTTTTTATTTTCATCTAATTCTATAAAAAAAATTAGGAAAAGATAAAGAGTAAATTAAATAATTAAAGTTACTCTTATATACATTGGGCCTAAGTAAGATATATTTTTGCTTAGGCAAGCATAGCTTAATTCGTTTCAAATCTTTTACATACATTTAATAACGTTTAATATTATCACACGTATAAGTACATACACGGAAACAACAATTTTACTGAATCCAGATCTAAAAATAATTTTTGTTCAAAAATTAAAATAATTTTGTGCAAAAGTCAAAATGATTGCTAAAATATCAAAATGTTTTATAGCAATGCTTATAATGCAGTTTTAACGTTCCATCAAATTATTTTGATGACTTCAACAAAAAATTATTTTCAGATCTGTTTTTAGCAAAATTTTTAGACCTTTCAACAAAATCGTTCTTTCCGTGTACGTGCGCAGGGGAGATTATGATTATAAAGAGTATAGTCGCTCTATAATCGCCTGTTTGCAGAAATTACTTGTATCCGTCGGCGCTGCATCACCGACAGTACCTATACGTATTATCGCGACGGATACAAAAAATTTTTCGCATGATTTATTCGATTTAAATTTGTCTAAAAAATTCCAATCTTTACTGCAGTTGGCTGCGCATCGTCCGACACGTTGTCACAAGCAACTGGAGTCGAATGTGAGAGACAGATCAACGCGTCCTCGTAACGCATGACTCGTAACGCAACCAGCTGAACGGGAAATGTCACATGCGATGGACGCAATTCCAAATCCTCTTTTCATGTTTATCTTTCTCAAATTCTTTATTTTTCTCAATATTATTCGGGAAAATAAGAATTACAGAAAGGGCGGAAGGGTTCTCCCTACAAAGCAACAAGTTTCTTAAGACAGATGAAGAACGTCAGTCCCACGTCAATCCCCTTGCAGGCAGAGGCATCTTTCTCTCACAGTCTTCCGCCGAGATACACTCATTATTTTAGGAATTTTTTCCAAAGCTATCCCATTGAGAAAACGTTTGAAAAAACAACACACTGTAACTGTTTTCCTGTTTAGGTATTTATTTCGTTTTCGTGTAATTTGCATAGATGCACAGAAGAAAATCAGCAAGCAAGTTTATTTTACGATTAAATAGATTAGTACTAAGGCTATGTATAATCTGGCGAGAGCCTCTTTTAGAAAATTCAATTCGATGTCTATAGATATCAAAACGACGTCTATAGATTTGATCATTTCTCCCTGGGATTATAGTTCCATTCCACAGAAAATATTTATCTTAATACTTTCACATAGTCAATAATTTTTTCATTTTTCTAAATTCTTGTGCCCATGCGGTTCGAAATCTGGAATCAATTTCTAGCTTTCTAGCAAGGCTTTAAACTGGAATACCGTATACAATAAACTTAAATGTATAGCTGCCATAATATTCTGTTATTAAAATAAGAATTAAAACATAATATAATAACTATAAAGCTTGCCTCACACTGTTAGTTTAAAACTGTAAAACTTGATTTATTGGAATGTCGTATTTATAATTACTATAGTTGCTTGAAATTGAAGAAAATTTATTTACAATTACAAATCTAAACAGAGAAATGTAATGAAAATTATGAACATGAATGTTAAAATTTAAAAAAGTTTCAAAATTTTTTATTTATTACATATATTTTTGAAAGAATTGATTGAACATTTTTACATAAAAATAAAATAAATTAAATACTTTACAAAAAATACAATTTAATACTTTTTTAGTGTATAATATTTTTAAAAATAATGTAATCTTTATTTATAGCGAGATCTTCATAAAGAAATTTTGCAAGATTGCAATAAAGTGCCATGCATTTTCGTTGTTCCATTTGAAACACTATAAAACAAGCGACAATTTATTTTAATTTTTTGTATATTCTACAACGAAAATGCATAAATAAATTCGTTTTATTTTTACAAATTAAAACTAATTTCAATTTTGTTAAAACCCGTTTGGATTAATTTGAAATATAAAGAAACATAAGTACTATTATGTTATCGATAACTATACCATATAATTTATGGAAAAACGTACTACTGCGTCAGCGATTGCTAATGTATTAATTTCTCTGCGAATTTTATTTTCTATTGTTTTTTATTTATTTTCAAAATGTCATAATTCTGATTTATGTCTTTACTGTCCGACAAAGAAGGGAATAATGAACATTAATGCAAAGACAGAATAAAATTCTTGTTTTGATTTCAAGTATAAAAAAATAATACAGAAAATATGAAGGCTATCTCGATCGAAATTTCTGTTTTGTAATTCATTTTTGTAAACCAGCTTATTTGGAAAATTCAAGTTAGCATATAGTTATAGTGTAGTCTATATTTCCATGTTTCACGTTCTTTTTCTCAAAAGCCTTCGACTTCTTCTCAAAAAGGCAGTGCGGATGCTCGGCGTGCGGCGTGTATCGCCGACTTCGCTATCGTTGCTTTTTTTCGTCGTTAAATCGGACGTTGTGTGTCGACGATTTCGCTATATAGCGGTAGATCATATGCGACGTGTGTTATTCTAGCCCGAGCGCGCGTCGACGCGACGAGAGCGGCAGCGGCGGCAGCGGCGGCGGCGGCGGTGCCTTAAGTAACGCAAAAACGCGAGCGAGCGCTCTGTCCGTGAAACTTTATCCAACTTCTGTTGTAAGTAGCTTCTAAGCGACGTTACCTTTCTTCCGCGGGGGCGCGTTTATAAACCCCGCGAGTACTATAAATCGATTTTTCCCCGGGGAAGGATAAGCCGTTGCTCCCGACTATCCTCCCCCTTCCCCTCTCTCTCCGCGCGTCCCATCCTCTCATCCTCTTCGCTTACCCTTTCCCACTCTGCAACGAGCATCACTAATAAGTCGACTAATAACGAGATCTTTAGTGCTTCCCTCATATATTTTCCTATACGGTACGCGCCGCTTTTTCTCGTAACTCACTCGCATAATGAATAACAATGCTGCAGTTAGCATTGTGAGTTCGTAGCGCGAACTCGATTTTCTAGTGCTTCTAGAACGCGAGAGCGTCACGATATACTGCAGATCTCACAAGCGACTGCATTTAATCGCGCCCCGACGCTATTAATGTCACGAGCGAGTATATGTCGCATAAATTCGCTAAACGATGAATTTGAATGTTAAACTTGACGGACTCTCGCAATGTTATGACGGATCTCGTAAATCTGCTTTCCTTTAAGTCTGGTCTATGATATGTTACTGTTCTATACATATACATATATCTTCGTCAGTCGATCGCGTTTAATGTCAGAATTATAATAAATCTATAATAATAATCTGTAATCGGCGAAGAACATCAGCTTGTGCAACGATAACAACAATATGCTTTCTCGTTCTCCTTTCGTCCTTCGATGTATATATACAATTTTGGATTCCTTTTTATTACAATCCGTTCGAGACTGTCCGACAAAAAAGCAAATATAATTGACGAAGAGCTTGCTCCATATATGTGTGCGTGATTTCGAGATTTACATGCGAATAACGTTCGCCACGCATCGACGTAAAAATCGCGTCGCCCCGCCGTGCGTGCGTCATTAAGAGAACAGACATCCAGAAAAGGCCGGAATTTAACGAGCTCCTCGGAAGGATCCGCGGTCTGGATGCAATTCGCTCGCGTGTCTCCTCTCTTTCTCTCCCTCTCCTCTCCCCCCTCCCTCTCTCTCACTCTCTCATTCTCTCTTTCTCTCCGCTCGTGCCGGACGTTCGTAACGAGGCTCATTTGGTGGCATGCACGCGGCCAATGGCGCGACGGTATGGTGGCTGCAGCCATGCCCAGCGGCCAATAGCGCCTCACGTCACGCAGCTGTCAGCTTGGCCACGCCCCTCACCAATCCACGTCGCGTCGCGCATGACGCACTCGGCTCGCATCGCCAACACGTCGCGTCGCCAGTCCTTTCTGGTGCGCGCGTGAGGAGAGTGTTTCTCTCTCGCGCGGCAGCGAGAGAGACAGAACGGGCCCTTTGATCCGCCGTCTCTCGTAACCCGCTCTCTCGTCCAACGTGATTTAGATCACGATCGCCAAATCGGAGTCACTCTGGGAAACGGATCCGTCGGACGCGCGTCGAGTGAAATCGCGTTCGTGCGGAGCTCTCGCCGGAGGGTCGTGATATTCTCGGGTTCCCCCGAGAGCGCCGAGTTGGTGTTGTTCTTTCGGTGATGAATGTCGCGGGGCGTATGCTGCTCGCTCGCGAAACGACGGCGCGTTAATCGAGTGAATCGACCCCGAAGGAATTGCTCGGGTGGAATTCTCCGGGCATACCCGTTCTACGTGCGAAGGCGTGTGGGCTCTGGAAAGGCTGTTGCAGTCGTCCTGCAGAGGACCAGAGATCAATTTTAGTGCTTGAATCAGTGCCGATTCTCCAGGCTCTTTGGGACGCACGCGATCTTCGGAACAAGAATGTGAAAACGCAACAGCCGAGGATTATTTCTGTCGTCCTATTTCTTCAATAAAAAGAGCGAAGAAAAGCGCCGTATTTCACGCGTACACAGATATAGGTTCCGATGAATTGTCAAGTGGTGAATTCGAAGAGGTGAAAATTCGAAGGTGGAAGGACGATTTGGTGACATTTTCGTGGAGAGAGTGTCGCGACGAGAGGCGTCGATGGGGTTCAAGGAGAGCGAGGGAGACCGCTCGTTAAGGCGCCTCTAATAATAGCGGCGCGCTCGCGAGTGTACCAAGCGGTCTATAAATACGATCGCTGGCCCCGTGGAAACACGAGCCCGTGGATTTCACGGTGCAACCTGTGTGTGCCGACAGTGAGAGCGAGACAGGAAGAAAAGAGGCAGCGAGTCGCGGAAGAAACGGTGCGGGGAGCGATTCGCGCGGATGGACGGACGGGCGTCTATGAATTTGGCGAAAGTGTTGTCGAGCGATTCAACGACAGTGCGTGTTCTACGAATGGAATTTCCGGGAATGGTCGCGAGCCGATCGAACCAAGGCGGCTGCAGGCGGCACTCGACGGAAACGAACTGAAGATCGCCTGGAGCGATTTGACCTTCCGCTTGGAATCTGCGAATCTTATCCTCGGAAATTGTACTCTCTTTTCTCTCCCCGAGCAACAGCATCCGTAACGAAAACCCGATCTGAAGAAAGATAACCAGAAGAGATCCAGCAACGTTGAAATCGTCGGTTTCTTTTCGCCGATCCTTGAAACGTATAGCTTACGCGAGATCGGAGGCCCGCGAGAACGAGGGTGATCTGGAAAGAAGAAAAGGATCCGCGACTTTTCGATCTGCGAATCGACTGACCCGTCGGCTCGACGCGCCTAATCGCAAGACCGATACCGAAAAGGATCTCGTCGCTTCGTACAGGACTTTACTTTTACTGCTTTCGACCGCGATATTCGCCGGCTATCAGCTGGCGCGATCCGAAAATATCGCGCGCTAGTCGTGAGAATCTTTACGCGATTACTCGATCGAATAACGAAGCAATTCGCGGCGAGCTCGAACAAACATCCAAGCGCAACGTTGCAAATCGATGAGTACCGATGCCTTGGAGAGACGTACAATCATCCCAGCACGATCATCGGCGGCTCGTCAAACGGAATGTGAAGGAGCATCGCAACGCTTTCTTGCTTCGAGCTTCACGTAGCACGGTGCAACAAATTTATACGCCCGATTGTTTAAATTGGTTTAAGCAATGACTGTGACAGATAACGTTACACGAACAGGCGTCTGAGAAAGTTCGGGTGCACGTAAATGAGAGAGAAAAGATCTATTTCGCGCGCGTAACGGTATAATTGAAAAGTCAGTTGACGTTAAATTGACGATCAATTTTGACAGGCGACGCAATAATAGTGCCACTGTCGACACTTACAATCTGGGGCGACTTTAATTGCTTGCCTTATGCGGACTTTCATCGCTTGCCATTGCTTTTGACACATATATTATAGAAGTACGCGATAATAGGACTAACCTGAAGTGATTCAATCTGAGTTGGCTACTCGCAGTGTTTTTCTTAGACTGCATTAGAACGTTTCTTTAATTAAGAAAGCGTTTAGTAAATCTAAGTTTGCAATAATCCACGTCGAATCAAAACACGCTTCCCACGAGCGGCCTGTTTTCGCGTTAAAGAACTTGGATCATCATCGTTCGGCGCGATGCCCTCGTTCGGACGTCCCAAGGATCCGCAGTGATCCCCGAGTGCGAAGGGGGTTCGCCTCGCGGAAGATGAGCGGCGAGTGAGGGAGGCGCTTCCTTTCTTCCGCGTAGCGTCTCGGATCGGAGAACCCGTGAGCGCGGCGACGCGGTCCGTCGCGGTCGCGGTCGCGAACGCGAAGCGAGGAGGACGTACGATCCTGTGATAACGGTGGAGGGCGGTGGTGCCGTGCGGGGGGTCGTCGTGGACCCCGGAGATGACGCAGCCATGATGGCCTACGGGGGCACCGCTGGTAACGGGGGCGCGATGGGCCCGTCGTCCGGTAGCGGCGGCGGCGGCGGAGGCGGCGGCGGTGGCGGCGGCAGCGGCAGCGGTGGCGGCGCGGACGTCCTGGGTACCGCCGCCGGCGACTACAGCCCTCAGAGCACGCCCACGCCCTTGACCGGGCACTCGACGACGGGCGGCACGGTGGAGAACGCTTACACGCCCGGCGCGACCGGGGCGGCCAGCTACAGCCCGCAGGACAGCCCGGCGAGCTCCGCCGGGGGCAGCGGTAACGGCCAGCTGCCGAGTTTCGGCTTCACGCAGGAGCAAGTCGCGTGTGTCTGCGAGGTAAGTCGTGTGACCGCCTGCATTTCCGTGGAGCTCCTCCGACAAGAGGCACGAAACATACCGGGTATAACACGCGAGTCCGAAAAAAAAAAACAGAAAATTGTTGTGAGAAAGGTAAATTAAAGTAAATGAGTACCCAACGGAGGAAGGGAGAGCTGAAGAGAGAAAAAACACTAGACAGAAGAAGGAGGCAAAGAACCGATTTCTTCAACATATTGATAAGTTTTCTCTCGCTTGTATAATTGTATACTTAGCGGTAGCTTTGATTCCTAAATTATCAGCAGTTCAGTTGTACAGAATATTCTATAATAATACGTAAATTCTTAAGATAGCGTAAGTTAATTTATAATGATTATATAGCTGACAGAAATTTCGGTTAAAAGTGCCTTAATGATTAAACCATAGATCAATTATATTTCTACTTAATAATTCTTAGATTAGATCAGAATTCAAATTCAATTGCTATATGAAGAAATCGGTTCTCAAAAATACGTTCAAAGAATGTCTGACAAACATCAGACTAGAGAGCATCATTCAAAGCGTCATTAAAATGTTATTCGTCTGATGTACAGTCTAAATTCGACGTATAGTTTCGTGATTCTTGTTAGAGGATCTCTAGCTGCATAACACGCGCCTGCTGCATTCAGCTGTTCAATGCTATGCGTCGCGTTTATATAGAAAGCGTGCAATCCATTCACATTCCAATTAAAATCTAGACGTAGATACAATTCTTCGCGACAGCGTTGCGAGAAGAACGTTCCAATCGCGATAATTATGTAATACAATGATTACGTTCAGAGAAAACAGATTAATGAGCGTTTAGTTGTAGCTACAGTTATTTTTTATTATAATTGGTTTCTCTGCATTTAGATCCAGCGAAGATCTAAAGACAAGAATCAATCATATTAAAAAATCGCTGAGCGTTCGCTGATCTGTTTTCTCTGCTGAACGAGGCCGCAATTGGTCTTCGTGCAACTCGACGCCTCATAATTGTTTCGCATCGAATTCTATTTGTGCCTCAAGAAAGAGAAAACAGCACGTTGATCTTCTAAATTTTCTACGAACGAAAATGTAGAGGGATTGCCAGAAATCTGCGCGCAATATTCGCGACGCACAGCTGACAATGAGTTGCTGATATAGCGAGTTTGACTAGCACACAATCGCTGCGCTTCTCCTCGGCGGTTCCTTTCTCGCGCGGTTTTTGCTTCGTCGGCACGCAATAAAATTCGATTCTATTGTTAATCGCACTAAATGTCACGAAAATCTCATTTTGCGCGCAAGTTTTTGCAAATTAATTTAAATTTTTTATGTCCCAATTTAGTCGCGTCTCTTCGATATGCTAGTTACGCGTGTACGCAAATCCAGCCGTCGCGTCGCGTTGATTGCCGTTTTAAAGTACGTGTGGAAACGGCGTGGATCTCTACGTCCCAATGATGAAATTGCCGCCGCGACAGTACGGTCATTACGTCGCCGACAATGTGCAGCGTTATGCGCCAAGATTCGCTTGCATGTCACACGCTTAATGGAATCTGCACGATTTTGCTGTAACCGTAAATTGTTTTGCGCGCGACATTTACGTCCCTCATATCGAACGTCCCACATGTTAACTCGTCCTGTTCGAGAAAGAGAGAGAGAGAAAGAGAGAGAGAGAGAGGAGAGAAAGAGAGGTGATCTCTTCCGCGCTTGGCAAAATTTTCACGGATTTTTTACTGCACACCCGTCGAGTTGCATTCGAGATGCAGCCTCGAACGATTTATTTGACATTATTGTTTTTATAATAAAATAAAATTGAAAATTTAAACAAACAAATCTTTGTTTGAACAAATCCGTTAGCTCTTTACTTTTTTTATTTTTGGATTGTCGTTAAAACAAGAAATACAACTTAGTTTGGATTGTAGATTTAAAAATAGATGAAATAATTACAAAATATGGTACACATTGCATTAATTGCGATATGTTTTTTAGTCCGAGTGATCAATGTTCAAATATATTTAAAATACTTATCTCTGCAGTCTCTCAAATGTTCCTTGGATGCCATTTAGATTTTTTGTAGCGTTGTCTATTTAATTTTCGATTTCACACTGCGTAGGTGTACATATACTCGTCACGTGAATATTAAGAGTTAATTTCTATACTTTGCGCCTCTCTGTATAGAGGATGAAAATATTCACGGACTGATTGAAATGTGTGCGACGATCGTGGCGCATATATACGTACAAGATAACGAGCGTGCGAAAAGACAGGGTTTGCCAAACGCGGAAGTGATCGGGACCGCAGATTGCATCGTTGCACGACGTTGCGTTCTTGCACGTGCATATACCCCTGTACTAGCGCTATAATTATGCGGCTAGACTTTAACTCCTTGCCCACGTCGCACAGACAATTATGGCGCTCAAATTCTGCGATTGGGACTCTCTTTGAAGAATCCAAGGGAGTCCCTCCGCCTCTCCGCGGTTGTGCCATGACCCGCGACATGTTGGGGTCGCTACATCGCGTATCGACTTGTTCAAAAATATTGCGATATTGTTGCCATACACTGTGACACGTGGGCGCTAGTTGTCTTGTATCATTCGAGGTGCCCATGGATATATAGTTCCCTTTTGGAAACATAAACGACGCTTCACCGGGTGTCGGCCGATCCATTTTTATTCTCGTCGAATCGACGTATAGAATCGATCGTGTACACTCGGCGGAAAAAGAGAAATGATAGGACTGAATGATTTCCATGATTTCCTCCTAAATCTGGTTACATTATTCTAGAACTTTGAACTTTCAGTCCCGGTTTAGCAGCTTAGTCCGATATATTGAATTACCTAATTCAGATCCGGTCTTTTCTAACTCCAATTTTAACAATCTTTGATGTCGAATAAAATTATTAATTTTGTAATGTATATATATGCGTTAGCACATATTGAAAGTTTAATTATAATTATCATTTATTAAATACCAAGTGAAAAAGATGGAAAGATTTTATTTTGAATCTTTCTTTTTATATAAATTCAATTTTTAATGTATCATTATTATGAAAAATTGTTATCATGTACGTTGCATTAATTTCTGCGTTGTTCAATTCTAAGAGAAAACAGAGATTTAACTCGCGTAACAACAGTCCTTCTCTAATCAGTTAATCCGATCTCGAGATCTATGTCATACATTTCTCTTCGTCGAGTGACGTGACACTCATTCCTCATTATGCCACGCGGCGAGATTAATCGGCCGTACGGCGCGGAAAATTCGGCGACATCCGGCGACGACAGCGAGCAGACAAAGATGACAGGTGTAAAGAGCTCATATTGCTAATTAAGCGATCATCAGGCAGAAATTCCCGTCCGCATACGATCGGCGACGTCTTAATTTCGTTGTCGAGTACTTTCGCGGCAATTAATTTTGTGCGCTACAGAAGGAAATCTCGAGATTCTCTACGATCTTAATTTTCTTCGATTCGTCTGTAAGATTCATGAATTCAATTTAATATATATAAAATTAAATGTAAAATTATTGCATAATTGTTATGAAACGTATAGTAAAGAGATATAAGTATGAGTACGACGTGATATTCTCTGTGTTTGTTATCCACTGAAAAAGACGGGTCAAACGCCTATTTGCAAGTGCATAGATTTTGTATTACAATAAAGTTTGCACGTCTCGGTGACGTATCGATTTTACGAATAGTATCGCGCTTTTAACAAATCAGCTGTGTGTAAATTAAAGATACGTAATACGGTGATATTTGGACCGGCAATATGTATATCGGCGCGTGATATCGAATAAACGTCAGTGACGCGAAGCAGGTATATATACAGTAAATAGATAGCTCATTTCTCAAACGGAATCCTCGGTGGGTTAATTATGTCAACGGGAGAACGCGCGCGAGGGCTAACACGATTCGTACCGATAAAACGAACTGAAGTGTACGACGAAATAAAATTGATGTATAGTTCCACTTAGGATCGTGTTACGCGATCGTTTAAGTTCATTAATGGTCGTTCGAGAAATTATACGAATGTTAAACGTCGAAGATATGTCAGGGATAATTTTACACATTAGTGATTATCAGATTTTCTTATCGAATGACATTCATTTTATTAAAATTATAACAGTTTTATGAATTTTCGTGCTTCGATTTTATTATTAAAGATTTTCTCGGTGGTGATTCCGTAGTTTCGCTTTATTGCGTGGTATATTTGTTTCCAGTAGAAATATATAAACTATGTGAATATACAGAGAGAATTTTCGCTTACGTGATTATAGATTCTATAGAGATCTTGACGTAAACGATCACTGACTGTCCGAAAGTGTTCCGTGTGAATATTCCAAGTAATTCACGGAATAATGTATCAGGCTATTTTAATCGCTCCGAGACACGATACTCATTTCTGCTTGCTCGCAAAAATTTAATTAATTGAAATTCGACTGTTAATATATCGGCATAGAAGGTAGACACATCCTGATTCATTCCTTCTCAAACTTCTGAAACCTTATCCCAATGTAACATCCAGTGTTTTTTTTTCTTACAAATTTAAATAGATTTTATTCAAAAATTTATCTTCAAATTAATCTCTTTTGAGGAAGATTTAATAACCACATTTTAAGAAAGTGTTCATAAGTCAAGGCCAATTTTTCAACTTCTTTATTCGTGCTTAATAACTTTAAACAGACACTTGGTTTTGTTGAGAAAAAAGAAATTATCGAGCATGTAACAGATCTATGCCAGATCTTCATGTTAGTTTTTTGTCAAAAGCGCTATATGTGTAAATACACGAGGTCATCCAAGATTTAATTTGAATAGTCATTTCATTATCTCTTTTTATTAGAGGAAAGAAGATGAAAAATTCCAAATACAAAAAAACTAGTCCTATCTAAGGCTGCTCAAAAACTCGTTCTTTTTAAAGAAGAGTTCTAATAAAATAATAAATAATAGTAATCAAGAAAGAGAGAGAAAGACTTTTGTACCCGTTTAAACAAGTTTTCATAAAAGTTAACTTTTTCTCCAATTTACAAATTGTATTTAAACGATTCAAGATTAATTCGAATCTTTGTTTGAATTCATAAAGACTTTTTAGCTCCTTTGGGTAATTTTAAATTATTTCGTTATAGCATTTATGTGTCTCGGTTTTTATAATTTTTTTATTTGCACTATGAATAATTAAAGTAAATATAACAACATCTTGTAAACCTTTTTTAAAAATTGAAGAAAATTAAATTTAGATTAATTTTCTCGACTTGAAAAGTCTCGGGATATAAGAGAATTTATCTAAATTTAATTTTTTCCTGGAATCTGCTGCAGAAAAACAGTTTACTGCGTCGATTGTCAAATTGCGCTATAATCTTTCATTCTACTTCTCATCCTACTTCTCATCCACGTTCCTCCTTACACGAAAATGTCCCGACCGACCTGTTAGTCACCTGGTAGTTGTCCGACTCGTCTTAACCTTGAACGAAACGATCAGCTGAAAGAGGTGAATATGAGACATATACAAGATACACTAGAATAAGAGGAGACTCGGGATGAGTTTTGCCGACTAACAGTGTGCCCCCCCTGTCTATCGTCTTCAAGGCGATGGTGTCGAATGTCCAGGTTCTCCAGCAGGCAGGCTCCGTGGAGAGGCTCAGCCGATTTCTATGGTCTCTGCCGGCGTGCACCAGGTTGCACCGGCACGAGAGCGTGCTCAAGGCCAAGGCGATCGTCGCCTTCCATCGGGGCCAATTCAAGGAGCTCTACAGGATCCTGGAGAGCCACACCTTCAGCCCGAACAATCATCCGAAGCTGCAGGCTCTCTGGCTCAAGGCCCATTACATCGAGGCCGAGAGGCTGCGCGGAAGGCCCCTCGGCGCAGTTGGTTAGTAAGAATATTTTCAACAATCTTTTTCTCTGCATCGCACACGTAGGTAATAAGCAGTTAAAAATAGATAATAAGGTAGAGATTCTTCAAATTCGACACTCAGGGAAATGTTTCGCTGTTGCAGCTAGAATTCTAATTATTACACTTAAATTATATCGCTGTTTTTTGTATCTGATGCTAAAAAATTGTCTGTCATACGTAGAATTTATATTCTAAGAATATATGCAAGAAAATATAGGTCTCATAACCAAATATGATTGGAGTCTGGACTAACTAAACGTCATAGAGAAACTTTCTTGCTAAATTTGACTCAGATATAATTTCTGTCTTGGTATCTATATTGATTAAATACAAAACATATGTGGCATCGCAGTGCTTACTAATCACTTATCACCGTTTTAGCTAATTTGTCGTACCTAAATAATTCTCGTTACAATTGCAAGATTACTTTTTCCAGTGGACGATATGACATCTTTCTTAGTGGCGCGATTATTAATTGCTACTTTTTAATGATTTCGATTGTTCTATCAAATAAATATTTCTCGTTTTGTCACGATTATTAAATTTGTTGAAAATATCTTTGTAATCTTGAAAAAATATAACGTGAATAATTTTATTACTTAAATGCTAGTCAATATTGATTAGCACAGAAGATAGTCGCAAAGAAATATAGTATTGTAAGACATATGTATCTTACAGTAGTTCAACAATATATGATAAATAGTTTTGTAGACATAAATAAAAATAAATCATACAACATTTTCACATAGAATCATAGAGTAAAAAGTCGTGTAAAAAGCGCTTTGTCACAATTAATGATTAACTTTTTCCATAGAAGGATAAAATACACAAATATAAAAATCGCATTTAATCACTAAATTAATTATCCCTATTATAATTATACTTATTTTATTATATTTGTTCATACTTATATATTCCAAAATAATGTAATATAAATATTAAAATATCATCGATATACGTAATTACACTGTAAAGAAATTTCTTTGTAATTTTTAATAACTATTATAATTTACGTGAACAATTTATTCTCGATACAAAATATTATTCTGCGGATTAAACTTGAACAATATCGGCGAACGGCATTTAAATCTCGCGTTTTAACAATGCGTGCGCGCACCCGCATTTATTTATTTTCGCGCTTAGAGCACATTGCGCGCGCGCGGCAGTTAATAAACAATGCGGAATGCACGCCGCAACGACTTCGACATTAACGACCAAAAACGAAACGGACAAAGTTAATTATCGTCACGTACAAGTAACAAGAGCTTAACGAGCGGTATAGACTTGGCCCTATTTTACGCGCTCGCCCGAGCGCCTATTCGCAAGCGGCCGGCGCGGCGCGCGTCACGCGTGAAACCGACGACCACTCGCCGTTGTCGGCAGCACTCGGCCCAGAAACCAAATCCGTCCTCAAAAAAAAAGAGAAGCTAGAAACAAAGCGTGCCTCTCTGTGTGCACGCCGGGAGAATCGGCGTGCGGTAACGCTCCGCCCGCCTGCTTCCTCTTCCGTTTTTCCCGGCGACGCGAATCCTGGCGCGCGAGTTCGCGGTGAGAATTTTCACTCGCCCAGAGTATGCTACCGAAGAATGTTTATCTTGGAGGCCTCAAAATGTGTGTATTTAAGGGTACAGGTAGACTCGCGCGACGGTATTTCTGACGGTACCGTTTTCAATTCTTGAGACCAGTGTGCGACGCTTTTAAAATTGCGCGCTTCTATTTATAACGTTTTCTCTGAGACGTACAACGTTAAATTAATATCCTCACTTACAGAGGGATTCATCTTTTTATGCTTTGCAGGAAAGTATCGAGTGCGCCGTAAGTTTCCGCTGCCGCGCACGATCTGGGACGGCGAGGAGACGTCTTACTGCTTCAAGGAGAAGTCCAGGAGCGTCCTGAGGGATTGGTACGCCACCAATCCGTATCCGTCGCCGCGCGAGAAGCGAGAATTGGCGGAGAGCACCGGCCTTACCACCACGCAAGTCAGTAATTGGTTCAAAAACAGGAGACAGAGAGATCGTGCCGCCGAGCATAGGTGAGTCTTTGACACCAGCGGTCCTTTCTGCTCATTAGTTAGAATTAATTATTCGCAAATTTGAATTGCCATCGGGACATTAGACGCGCGTCTCGCGATAGAATCGAAAGAATGTAAAGAAAAGAATGTGTTTCATTCTGAAAAAAAGTTTTCTGGAAACTAACACGCAATAATTCAATGATCTACGTCGGAATATAATTATCCGAAGGAGAAAATAATAAAGAAGAATAAAGATTTTAAAGCGCTTAAAAGAACGAGCGATCTAACGCCGAAGAAATATTGCAATCGTCAAATTGGGTCAACGGAAATAGAAAATCGGGGTTACTCTATTATACTTCTACATTTTTTTGTCTATTAAAACTAAATTATATTATATTGTTATCGTTGAAGTATTTCATTAAATAGATTAAATAGAAATACGTTAAATCATATAAAGATATTAACAGCAACGATTCAAGATAGCGATACAAAGCTGATACAATTAGGTTAAATATTAATGAAAGTGTGACGGACGGAAAGATCGTAACCGTTAAGCTTTGTGTGCGCTCACAAGTAAATAATATCCGGCGATATTTCTATATACGCGTCTCCGACGCGACGGCACGCAGATGTACAATTGACGGACGCGCTATAGCCGTGGAATTTTCGTCTCTCGCGGATAGAAGCGCGCGCGGCCCGTAGTTAGGAGTCCCGTGTTGTTTGGAAGGTCGTTGCTCTACATCCGATTTTAGAAACGAGCGGAGGCCCCATAACTATGTACGTAACGCGATGCCTTCCGCCGTGTAGCGAGAGAGCATCGTGTCGCATGCATGCACGCTCGTGGGCGCGCGCGCGCGCGCGCGCGACCGTCCTTTACTTCGCCGTGCGCGCGATTGAGCGAATAATAAATAAATAAGTACCAGCTGGGCCATCTGGGCCGCTGACAGAGCCAATCTCCCGCGAATTCTTCCGCCGAGGCTCCTATAGCACTTCGCGGCGAAACGAGTGCGTCACGGCGAGTGATCATTGCGACGATCGCATTGCGACGAAAGTGTGCCGTGCTTCCTTGTCAATCGGGGCTGATTAATGAATCGGGGACCGGATATAAATCCACTACAAGAGAGACCTTTGAAAATTGTATATCGCAGACTGTATTCTTGTCTCCGTTGATGTAAAATTTATTTATTTCTAGTAATATTAGCCTTCGCTTCTCCCTTTACAGATAAAAGCACTCACACACGGAAAGAACGATTTTGTTGAAAGACCTAAAAATTTTGCTAAAAACAGATCTGAAAATAATTTCTTATTGAATCATCAAAATAATTTGTTGGAATGTTAAAACTGATAAGTATTGCTATAAAACGTTTTGATATTCCAGCAAACATTTTGACTTTCGCACAAAATAATTTTGACTATTGAACAAAAATTATTTTCAGATCTAGATTCATCAAAAGTGTTCTTTCCGTGCATATAAACTAATTATAACTAAATAAATTATATAACTATAAGCAAATCATAATTATTATGTTATAATTATTATCAATTTAATAAGAATTAAATTGAAGTATATAATGTTGATAACGCGATCATAAGCGTAACGTTAGAGTTGAGAGGAAAATTCTTTTGAGCTTGAAGATCGATTTAAAATGGCCCGTTGTATAATCATTCGAAAGAGCAAATGTTCGTGATAGCCACACGCGGACGCGATCGAGCATTCTGCAATTGAACGGATATTTCTGCGATATTGGGGTGATTCGGGAGCGTAGGTGCTTTGCGGGATTTCCTGTAATTAATATGCGGCAAATGATGCCATACGCGCGTATCTGCAAAGCCATCGGATAGGTCTGTAAGATCCATCGTCATGAGTGTATCTATCGGGTGGCCATAAATTCTTGAATGCGAATTTTGCTTTTGAATTAATAACTCTCGTATCAATCTCAAATAATCAATTCAATCTGCACAAACTTTTCACGAATTACACACACACGCGTGCGCGCGTTTCTTTTACAGATTATATCTCCGTAAATTACTCGTTTTTTAATGAAAATAATTTAATAAAGTATCTCTTATGTAAACTAGAAACTAATAGAATTGAATTATAAATTTTGATGATGTATTTAAGATACGCGAAGATGGAGTTATATTTTCTCGAAAATTGGAATTGAACTCGACAATATTATATATACCGATCATCATTCTGCCTCAAACGGCTTTGAACGCGCCGCTTTGGGATGAGTACGTCTAATTCGTGAATACCTCGTAGAGACATATACACGCATCTCTGACCTCCTGCCTCTGTCCATGGGAATACACAGAAGCCATAAGAAATTTGATACGTTCCCCGTGGTATGACGTGTGTACTGGCCCTGCCACGGTGGTGCTTCCCACTTCCTCCCTCGCGAGAAAACGCCGTAACTACGATTCGCATGAATCGGCCGGATCCATATCCTTCGATGAAGCCACTCCACCAACGCTTCCACTAACGTACATATACGTATAATATATATATGTATAATCAATGGAAAACAATATATTTAATGGACAACGACGGATTTTATTTCTCTGTTAATCGGGGACGATGATAACGATAATTTTTAAAACATTAAGGGGATGTTTGAAATCTTTGAACTAAAAAAAAATATTATAAGTACGATAAATCGCTTGCAAATTACACAACGAATGTAAATAAATTTACTTTCACAAATTTAATTTCTCTATACATTTAAGAAGAAAATTTAATATCGAATATTACAAAAACATTTTTGTAATTATTAACAAATATAAATTAAGTAAAAAAGCTTTTTTGGTTTTATCACGATTTTCGAAGTCAAACCAAATTTTGAAATAAAAATGTAACAAACAGAACTTTTTTCTTAATAAAATCTTTATTGATTAAACTTGTGAAACAGAAAAATAATGACAAAATTAACAAAAAAAACGAATGTTTATCTTTTTTTTACTGTTTTTACAACATAAACCATTTTTTCTAACAATATTCAAGTTCAATTTGTAGATAATTACAAAAAGTTAATTAATTACAAAAAGAAACAATGATACCTATTAGAGAAATCAACAATAGTAAAACTGTTAAAAAAATATTTCAAGAAAAACATGTTTACGATAAGTTTCAACGTATGTTATCAAAATATGTTTACTCGGCTCAAAACTATTCTAAATATCATAATCGAACGTAGGGTCGAGAAATCTTTTAAATAGACAGATCTTTATTATCTGTTAAAAGACATAAAAAGAGATCTTTTGGATAAACTCTCGCATGCTGCTTTTCGCTCAGCGCATCTCGTTTAATGTCTCACACATATATACGTAATTCTTTCTTTCGATCGTTTTTTCATTGGAATCGATATTTAAATTTAATACATACAAATATCAATAATATTTAACGATTAAGAAATGTAATTGTAATTTAATAGAAAATAGATTTTGCTAGATTTTGTTTTTTTAATTAACATAATTGAGTATTTTGAAATAAAATCGTTACAGGAAATAAGAAGCTGATGCTTCGAATTATTGACACTTCGAATCTTTATATTGTAACCCGATCTTACTAAAACGAAGTATAACAAACCTCAAATCATGCTCAACATATTTTCTTAGATGATCATCTGAGTGTCGAGTTAAATATACAGAATTGATTAAATAGAAATGAGTGAATAGACCATAGCAAAAAATTTGATTCTATTTATCACAATGTTTGTAATAACGAAAAAAAATAATACGCGCGTTCGAGGATTGTAACTATATTTATAATTACACGGAGAGAATTTCTTTTTAAAATTTACCCTGAAAATTTTGTTAATCGTGAGACAGCATAGTATTTCAACAAATTTCACTGTACACTACAATAAATTTGTTTTTTACATATTTGTTAGTACATATTTAAAAAAAATAGTAAAAATCATATAAAATTCGTCAAAATACCATGTAGTCCTACAATTAATATGATTTTCAGAATAAATTTTAAACTAAAATTCTTTCCGTGTACGTTTAACGTGCACGCAGTCAGAAATTAAGTGAATATCTCGCGTATACAGGGGCGGCGTCCCGACGAGCCCCTCGGGACAGAGGCGTCCTCGTGGGCGTCTGCAACCGACAAAAACCGTCAAATACAGGGACCGTCCCGCGGGAGCTGTTATCGAACGATTTAAGTACCTCGTTTCGATAAGATATAATGCGCTCGTATAAAACACTCAATAAAACACAGACCAAAACACTCCCCAAAAAAAAGAGCAAAATACATTTTATGAGATAATGAATTATTTACATACAGACAGGCCCATATTCAGAACGCTTATAGCGACGTTAGTGGAAGATAGATTTTGCTAATCGGTTTTTTTTTTTAATTAACATAATTGGGAATTTTGAAATAAAATTGTTACAGGAAATAAGAAGCAAATGCTTTGAACTTATTGACACTTCGAATCTTCATACTGTAACCCGATCTTACTAAAACGAAGTGTGACAAATCTCAGATCGTGCTATATATTTTCATTTGAGTATCGAGTTTTTTGACGTTAGCGCGCTAACATCAAGTTTTAAGATATTCTATAGTATAACGAAAACTACGTACTAAATGCGCGCTACATCATTATAACTTGATAAGTGCAGCATTCTGAACACAGGCCACAATATTCAACGCGAATGTTATTATATCAAGCGATATAGCTGATAGAGAATGGTTATAGAAGTGAATTCTGTCACGTAATGGGAATTAAAAGGAATTAAATAATAATGACGAATATAACGATGATATATGATGTCTGTGATGATAATGACGATATAATAACAGTGAATTACCATTAGATCATAATCCAATTTTCACTGATTTATCGCTCTTTTCTACTGACGGTTTATCGGGCACGATTACGTACAATGTCTGCGTAGTAATTTGTGTAGAAAGATAATGATTGCGTGCGTTCTCGAGTCGAATTAATTAGTATCGGTCGGCCGTAATTATTATCGACACACGCGCAGTGAGCGCGTATCCCGAGCGGAAGTATATA